CATGATTAAAATAGACGGTGTCACTGACCATTGACAAGACGACATGCAGAAGGTTGTGCTGTAGCTGCCTGTCACTGCGCTGCGGTAGTTAGAGCTTGGTCTCATTTTCCAGAGGGAAGTAACAATTTCTTAATTTCTTTGCGTACTGGGCTAAAGAGAGACACGTTATCCAGGCTTTGAATATTGCATTATTTTGTGTTCTGGGCAGGGAATCTGCAGCAGACCCCGGGAGAGCTAATGCACCACCTGCCCCCTCTATCAGATGAGTTTGGTTAGAGAACACATTGTGTCCGCATTAGCTGCGAATGTCCTTCGCCGCGTTCGCCCACAGAGCCACCCCAAGGCTCTTCGGGGGCGGCAGATTTGAATTTTGCCTCCTCAAGGATGAGTATCTGAAGCTGGGCCAAAGCTTTGTTTCCTCCTGGCGAGAGAAGAGGGATGGGAGAAGAGGCGCGGGAGGGCTTGAGGGGTCAGGCTTGCTTTTTCTGCTGCTCCGGGGGCAGCAGGAAGAGGCTGGTGGTGCATGGCTGCTGCCAGGAAAGGCTAACCTCTAGCTGGAGACCACAAACCCTTGGTGACAGTGGCCAGCCTGGTTTTCCAAGGCCACAGATAAAATAAGCAACGACCTAGGACAGCAGACAGTGGAGGAGACAGAGGGGCACAGTCCTGCTGCTTGCTCCCTGGTGTGTTGGACGGAAAGAATTTTGTTCTGTAGCGGGAATTGCACTCTAGCTTGCTTGCTTAAGAAAAAGATGACCAGTGCTTTAATTTACACCCCGCTTGGGGATCAAATCTCTCAGCAAGACAGGAGGGTTTTTTTTCCCCCAGATCTCACTTTTGAGGGAAACAAATTTCCATGACAGAGGATGAAATACTAGGAATATTTTTCTTAGGTGGATCTTCCAACTTCTGGTTTGTAGTTACACTAATTTGTGGGTGAAGGAAATATTTTGGTACTGAAAACTTGCCAAAATGCTGTTTAACAGGGAATTGCAGTTTAATTAGCACTTATGAGACATTAACAATAATTGTATTCAATTTGGCCACTCGGGATAAAGTGTGATTCAGGATCAGCTGGTTGGTGCTCTGGAAAAAAAAAAAAAGAAAAGAAAAGAAAAATTGCTGTGTGGTCTGGTGAATATGTGCCATTAGCTTCGTGTTCGCAGGTAGAAGCTTTTGTGGCTGCTTGTCTTTTTTTTCCCACAAGGTGTTGTGCTGGACAGGGAAAAAGTGGAAGGAACTTGTATTAACTGGAGGGAAATGGTTTGACTTCAAGTTCATGCTTTTGCAGCGGGCTGGATTACAGCTTATCCCTGCTATCTCTTATGCTGTGATTTTTAGGAAAAGTGCCAAAAACTTAAAAAAATTTTTCCATTTACTTACTTATGCTTTGCTTTGCCAAGGAATGAGAAAGCCTGCCACTTTTAGCAAGCGTGTGAACAAGAAAGGCAAGGGAACCCGGGGTGAAATTTGATGTGGAGACTTGTGTACGATGCAGGATAGCCATAAACATCCCTTGAATATTTCTTTTTTCATTGCAGCAGAGTTCATTATGCTCTCTGAGTTTGTGGCTGTAGGTGAAAACAAAGACAGTGTCACAAAATGATTGTAGTTTCAAAGGTTGGCTGAGAACAGAGAAGACAAACTATATGCAATTTAAGCGCCTGTTTGTATGCAGGCTACCACACAAGGCTAATATATACACTAGTATGATGTAAGGCAGCGGAGATGACCTGATTAGCAAAGCCCTTGCAACCAGCTGAGGAGATCCCTGCTGCACCAGTGCACCCCTCCTTGGAGACCTGCAACTAGTCCCAGCTGAAGGAAACCTTCCCACAGCAACAAGAGCTAGCGGAGGGTTTCTGAAAATGGCAACGACAGTGCTCTGTGTGTGAAGGTGATGGAAGTAAGAAGCGTAAACAGCCTGCACAACTTTGCAGAATAGCTGGGATATTATGAAAGATGCAACATGAATTACTTGGGCTTTGTGAGCTACGTTTGCAGGAGTTGTGGAGCACTGTGTGTTTGGGGAGGTTGCATTTCAGCAAACAGCTCGCTCCGTTTTGTTCCGCTGTTTATCCTGTTGGATGAAAGCCATCATTCAGCAGAAAGAAACGCTAGGGCAAGATAAAGTAAGTGATCTTCCAATTTGTAAGCTCTTGCAGCCTTGCTTTCATACGTGCTGAGCAGGCAGAGGTCCACAGACTTGAATGGGAACTCGTGGTGCTCAGCACTTATTACAGTCAAGTGTTTATTATTCCATGTTAGAGAAATAGAGACAAAAATTTATATACGTAAGAAGACACGTAAGATACAAGGCTTTCTCTCTCTCTTGTGAGTGTGTATAAATATACACAATTGGCATGAAGTTTTTTGGTTATTTTGTCCCTTACTGTGCGTGGAGAGTGCGCAGGCTTGTGGCAGAAACCCGGGGTTTTAGGTGAGGAGCGCAGGGCACTATTTCTGGCTCTGCCCTAGCTACTTGTGTGGCCAAGTGTATTAAATCCTGCTCCTGAAGACAGCAAACCCTTTATTCGGCCTTCATTCTCAAACTTGCTGAATACCCCAAAAGGCTGCTATTATTAGAGGGAACTGCCATTCCTTAGCTCTGAAAGTGGGCTGTCCATAAATCACCAACGCGTGCTTTCCACAGGGAGGTGGGACTAGGACTTCGGCTTTCTCCCTGCCAGCCCATGGAGCTGGCAGAGCTCCCACTCTTCCTCCCTTTTGCTCAGCCCCTCCACCAAGGGTGCGTCCACCTGGTCACGAGGCTGGCGATGGCTGTGCCACCACCGTACCTCCGCACAAGCGTCGGATGGTTTCCCATTGCTTCTCTTGCTGCTGTGGTGGGGCAGGCCCCCTCGCGCCTGCCATGCAAACAGACTCCTGTTGACCTGTTTCTGCCTTTCTTCCTCCCCTTGTTGAGGTGGTGGTGGCCTCGCAGGAGAAGCTATTAAGAAAAATGTATCTTGTCCTTGGGGGATGATTTGCAATTACATAAAGTTTACCGCATCTTTTTCACGGCCAGCAAGAGGTTGCTTTCATCCACGTATTTCCCTGTGCATGCTGTCGGTACCAGGCTTAGCACTGTGGAGCAGGAGCCGTCCCTGGGGGACTGTGCTCCTCCACCGCGCTGGGTGTAGGTGGGGATGGCCATCCTGCGCCCAGGCCAGCACAGCCGCGCGCTGCCCCCGGGCAACCGGCTGGGGCCAGGTCGCGGTCACGCTCTCGGTCTGTGCCGTTGTTTCTTTTTTTTAAACAGTAAATGCATCTCTCTCGCAACAAAAATATCAATTCCCTTCTATAAATGAAGCGCTTAAATATTTCGTAGTTACACACCATTTCAATGACGGTGCCTGCGCTGATACTAGTCTGTTGTGATCTGATCTGGCTGCGTCCTTGCTCTGGATGGGCTTTGCTGTAACAGTACTTTCATTCCTTAGCTCCCATTAGCGCCTTGATGAATAGTGGAAGATGTGTTTCAACAATTTTATGATTAAAAAGCAACATCTTACCGTTGTTCGGTCTCTGGCGTCTTTGCCCCATTCATTGTGCTTTACCTAGGAGTAACGGCAGTGATTTAGAGTTGCAACATCAACATCAGTCTCTGAACCTTGTGTTTTCCTTAACCGTAAATTCTGGGGAAGGAGGAGAAAGGAGGATGCAGGAGGAAGTCTAAGTAGTAAGGCTTGTTCTTCCGACATTTCCAGGCCTGCTGTTTGAAACTGTGATGCCTCACAGTGATCAGACACACTTACTCCTAACTCTCTCGTTGGGTTCCGGACAGGGTCCCCTTGGGCAGCTGCTCTGGAGCACGCCTGGCCGGGGTTCAGAGACACCGGCCAGGCCCAGGGCACTCCGGGTCCACTGCTGTCACCGGCACTCGTGCTAATGGCCTTAGTACAGAGGTCAAAGACTGCTTAGATATGAAGGCTGAATCACCTCCTTTTTAAACCCCTCAGCAGGATCAAGGCTTAGGGAAGCAGGCACGTGGGCTTGCCTTCTGGCTGACAGTGTGGATGGAGAGTGTGACTCTGGGACAGGCCTTTCCGCAGTTTCGACCAACCATTGAGGCATTGAAATGGGGGTGTCTGGTGATTAAAACACCCCTACGTGAAAAAGCCTGATGCATTCATTTTCTTTAAAGGTTTGCTGACCCCACAAGCTCTTGCTAGTTAGAGGAGGTTTGTCCTGTGACCCGAGGATCACAGAAATCAGTGGTGAGCCCGTCAGTCTAACCAAGCAGATCTGAAAAATCTTCAACTGCGCCTTATTTCACTTTCAAATATAAATAAGCCAGCAGCGTAGGTCTCGCTTCAGAGCTGTTTGCCTTGGCAGTGTCCCATTTACGTGAATCAGAAGATGGTAGCAAAAAAGCACTGGAGGCTCATCCAGAGATTGCTCTCCTCTCCGTCAGGAAACCTGCCCGTGCAGGCAGGGTGATTCGGAGATTACCGACACAGCTCACAAGCCCGGCTTCGCTACGTCCCTGCGTTTTGAACAATCCTGCCTGCGAAGGGTGCTTGTTTCCACGAGCTGTGGCGGGGCAGTGTCCTGTCTTTGGAAACCCTTTGTCTTGGTGCAGTAGGCAGGAGAGACCTGGAGGAAGCAGCTCTGGCTATGTCCTTTGCTCTTGTGAGTTGGGTTCCTTGAAAGGAAGGGGGCTCCTATGTTTTAAGCTGGGAAGCAGGAGGTCTGCTCTTAAGCCTGCTGCATCTCTGCAACTTTTGGTAGGTCGCTGGATCACGCCGTGCCTTAGTTTCTAAGCTGTAAAATAGGGATAGAAATTAGGAATTTAAAAAAAGAAAACACAAAGCCTTGAAGAAGGATGCAGTTGTAACTTGTGGTGCCATCACCACCATGAGGCCCTCATGTTGGTTTGAGCTTCAAGGCTGTGCTTTAATGTTGATGATAGTAGAAATTTATCATGATATTAGCGATTGGGAACTTTAAAAATACACATTTTTAATTATTTTTTTTTTTATTTTTTCTTATTTCAGCAAATTCAGTAAAGCTAGAAATGCAAAGTGATGAGGAATGTGACAGGAAGCCCCTGAGTCAGGAAGATGAGATCAGGGCTCATGATGAAGGAAGCAGCCTGGAAGAGCCCCTCACTGAGGGTAACGAGATGGCGGATAACAGAAAGATCCAGGAGCTATCGAGCGAGGGAGGAATCCGGCTTCCGAATGGTAAACTGAAATGTGACGTCTGTGGCATGGTTTGCATTGGGCCCAATGTGCTAATGGTACATAAAAGGAGCCACACTGGTAAGCAGCTGAAAGAAAATCTGATGACTGCCTGTGGCGTCTGATGTTGATATTACCTGACAACTCTTCTCTCTTCCCTTTTCGTTCATGGGGTACCAGGAGGCTGGGGAGGGGAGAGATGGGCTGCGTTGTTTTGGTTCTCCCCCTGCTCCCCAAATTCTGGTGATGCTGTGTTTCTTGCAAGAATGGTGCTTCCTTGACATTGATTTCCAGTCTTTGGTTCTTAAAAAACTGCACAGAAGTCTGGAAATCGCTTTTTTTACTGTTCTTGGCCAGGGGCAAGATGGTGAGAGTCATTCTCTGGCATGGGGGGGTGCGTGTATGTTCGTGTGTGCACACGTGCAAGGCTTTTGAGCCTTTAAGGTGGGTCTTAGATGGTCTTCCCTTGGAGGTGCTCACAGGTGGACAACGCCAGCAGTGCCAGCAGCTTCCTGGGGATTTCACACCTCCTTTGCAAGTGGCTGGGCGTGATGCTGGTGGCCCGGCAAACCTGTAATTAGCAAACCCCACAAGGGACATGCATTACCTAGCGATCCTGATGCCAGGGTTGGCTTGCTGCTCATCGCGCGACAGCTCCATCAGGGAAACCTCATTTGGGCTGGTGCTGGGCTCCCCCTCACCATCCAGATACCATTTTTGTGGCACCTTTCAATGCTTGCACACTCCTATCATTTATTTTTATTACTATTAGTACTACTAGTGTTTGGAGACCAAAACAGCTTTGCTAGGCTTACGGATTTGAGAATTCAAGAGGCAAACAAAACCTTTGTGATACGCTGATTTGAGTGGGTCTTTGGGGCCTGAAAGCTGAGGCCTTAAGTTCAAAACAGGGAGTTTCAGGGGAGTTTTAGCTAATATGACAAACTGGGGTGCCCGAGAGGCTGGTACTCACTCACCTCTGCCGCTCCTCAGGTGGGAGTGACAGTTACCTCCAACAGGATAAAAGTACAGATGGTGCTAGAAGACAGTGCTTTCTGGTCTTGCAGAGGTCTACCTGGCAGAGTCTTTAATTCAGAAAAGCACTTAAGCTTGTGCTTTAAGCACATGTAAGTCACCTGAAGTGCTACAATATATGCTTAGCTTAAGATACACACTTAAATCTTATTAAGGTTAAGCACAGGTTTCTGTGTTGGAGCCTCAGTGGCTGCTTGTTCTTCGTATTTTTGGGGCAAAATGAAAGATATTTTGTTTTTTATCTTTCTCTGCTATTATTTAATGGGGTGAGAGACTCACACTGACTGTGCGGTATCTGCTAGGATATAAAAAGAAAAGTGAGGTTTTAAGGTAGAGCAAGAAAGACTTTGTGTAATCCCTTTGTAAACCTGGTAGTTTGCAGTCAAGTAGTGTGCTTTCTATGGGAAAGAAATCAATAGAATTTCTGTATAGAGGAATAATAAATATATATTACATAGTTAATGCCCTGTATATAAGTTGAATTGATAATAACTTAACATAAATGTATAATGCAAAGCATTGCAGTATCATTTATGATGCGGTCATGATTTTAGACAGCAATTACGACAGGGGAAAAGCATTAGCTGGAGAACCAAAATCTTGATTAACAATTTGACATACTATTAGTAGGAAAGGGAGAGAGAATAGAGAATGTAACAGACTGAGCCCCCAGCTTTCAACCTCCCTAAAAGTTTTCATTGGCACTTGCACGTATCTGAGCATATGTATTGTAGGTGCATCGGAGTCCACGTGTTTGAACTTGAGCAGCTAAATTAGACCTGCTAAATTTAGATTTAGGTACTTAATTAAATGGTCTGCATTTTTTGAGATACTGAATAGCTAGCGCATCTTTTAAATACAGGCAAGCTGCCTTTTTCAGGTTAAAGAAGACATGCAAATTCAAAGCGAACAGAACAAAATCTCATCTGCGTGCAGGCAAGACGGCTGTATGCGGGTGCATGGGTAGGAATTGCATAACTGGTAGCTTTTTCCTTCGGGCTACTGCTGGTTCCTCATAGAGCTCTGACTCTTTTCCCATCTGAGCAGAGGAGCTGTGATGCATTGCTCTATACAGACGATTTCAAGCATATAGAAATGGCATTCCTTTTAATGTGCAGCTCGGTGCTCAGTAAACCAGTTGGCAAATTTTGTGGAGGATTTTACACACACACACACACACACACACACCCCACTTTGTTTGTTTTTTAATACTTGCTGCTACTTCACTGTCCACAACAGAAGGAGAAGTTTACTTGGATTTCCACATCCTTGATTTTAAGGAGTATTTTTAACATACTGGTATCTATCTTTTAAAGCACTGTATTTTAAAATATATTGCCACTTCCTCGGCAGCCGGGTGCGATGGGCTGGCCCCAGCTCTGGAATGAGCCCTGACCTGTGGGTAGTCTGGTTTTGCAGCCCAAGGGAGAATGGTGGAGGGAAGGGAGATTGTCCCTAATGAGTGGAAGCGGAGGATATTCTTTATCAGCTAATGCAACTGGCATGTAAATCCTTACCTCTCAAAGCCAATTTAAGTATGTTTTCGGAGCTGAATCCTGCCTTACTCTCCTCTTTATCTGTACACAACCAAAGCGTGGTCTGGCCAGTTGTTTGCCTTGGCAACAACTAAAGTCCTTTTGCCTTCCCAAAAAACCTGTCAGCATTCTATGTAAATCACACAAAATGCTGCGGTCCATAGTAGAGGCTGTAATTTGTGTGTATGCTGGGACAAGAGTGTGGCTTTCCTTACGCTGGGGACGCAGGCTTTGCGAGAAGCTGTGCCACATGGCGTTGGCTGCGTTACGCACGTAAAGGGGCACAGTTTTCTCCAGCCGTTACTCATCTGTTCCTGAGGAGCAGCTGTCTTCCCCTACCACGTTATGGTAGTTCAGTCAAACAGATATAGGGCTGGGGAAAATAATCTGTGCCGTGGATGAGGCCAGAGTAGATGAGCTCCATCTCTTGTCCTCATGTGCTGGAGCATCCATTTCCACTGATGCCTGCAGTCGCCCCTTCCTGTGATAGACCGAGCTGGAGTTTTCCCATTCATCCTTCGGATCCGCACAGGCGCTGCCTCGTGCGCGTGGTGCAAGCGATGCTTTGGTCCACGGCACCTCTGTCACAGAGCCCTTGGCATTGCTCATCTGATACCGCCGAACACAACATTTCTCCGAAACACTGATAATTCAGGTGAAGTGTTTTTGTAATCTGCATGGCCATCAGGAGAAGGCCTTTCTATATATTTGTCATTGCTGACAGAAAATAAATAAAACGGTCAATGTGGGAACTAAGCGTGATGCACTCCCTGCTTTAGTGAGCAGGGTAACCCCCCACCCTCTCCCTCACGTGCCGTGTTCTCGTGTCAGAAAAATAGCATGTGTCAGGTTTGATTTATTTTCCTTCTTTCCCATACTATCTTCTTTTGGTCCAAATTTCATATTCCACAGCACATGCCCTGAGTTGCAGCATCTTTATCAGAGTTTTTTGTTACTGCAGGAGACGACTGGTCACGTAATATTGCCACTGGATACTCCAGGGGCTTGTGCTTGGGGATGTTGAGGGAAGGGGAGAGGAAGAAGATAAGGCTTTCTGCTACTGGGCCTGAATTAAAATTTCCTCGCCCCTCAGTTTTGGCAAAGCAGAAACCATTTACAGGTACAGCCGTGCTGCTGCTTCTGTGGTCTGCGAGGTCCACCTGTTGTTCTCCCTTGTGCTGTGAATTGTGATTTTTCTCCAACATAATGTCCAGTCCTTTATCTAGTCCACTGCTGGATTCTGAAACACTTTTTATTTCTAAGGGAGGATTGGGATCATCCTCATTGTTTTAAGAACACCCAGAGTTTAAATGCTTTTTCTGTGTGGATGCAATGGGACAGTGGCAGAGCAAAGCTGGGTCAGGGCACGACGCAGAAGGCAGCACAGATAGCAGTCTTGCCCCATTCTCACTTTGGGCTGCTGATAGGTTATTTTTAGGCTTTTTTGGGGTGCTAACCGCAAGAGGGTCTCAGATCTTTGCTTGCACTCCACGTACATTTTAGTACCATAAAGTCAGTGAAATGAGATACGTTATGGTAGTTCAGTCAAACATGAGAGAGATCTTCAAGTTCTCCTTTAACATCCGTAGCGTTATAATTGAACATATGCAATACTGGAACTCTGAATGCTATTTAATTTTTTTTCTTCATGCAGTTTTACTCGCAATACTGAGTAGCTAAACTCTTCTGATATTTTTACCAGTTCACTTAAAGGATTTTTGTCTCTTAAGAATATGATCATAAATTTGTGTACAGAGGACACTTGGGAATCCCCCAGGATTTCCCAGGAATTTTTCACAAGAGATTTGTCACTACTGTTTTATAGTAAATTACCCTATCTGGAAGTAGGTTTTTCCCAACAAAAAACCCTAGTAAAATCACTGATTTCAAGTGATGTGCAGCCCGTTAAGTGAATCTGATATAACAGTAAGTAAGTATGCAGACTAGATAGTCCCCAGAATAACAGATACAGAAATGCAGCAAAGTCTGCTGCTCCGTGTTTCGCTTGGGTAAAGGCAGGTTGCAACTCACTGCCTGCCAGTGTGTTGGTAGCGCAGCTAATATTTCATTTGTGCTCCTGGGACAGAGCAGAATCAGAGCAGTTGCAGCATCTGATGAATCGGGAGAAATGTTTCATTTTAACTGAATATTAACAAAAAGCCTACTATGGAAGGGTGAAAATCAGTATTATTAGTATGAGCAAATACTTTCTGATGGCAGCATGGGCACAGTGATTTTGCATTAAGAGGTTAAAAAAAAAATCCTGTTTGAGAAGTACCTAAGCTATCCTGTGCATATCAAAAGTATGTGCCGAACAAAAAAGGCTGAGATCTTAGACTTACATTTAACCAGGAGAGATGTTAAATATAGTCCCATTGGACCTCATTCTTATATTTAGAAGGACTCTTATCCTGGCTTTTCTTGTTATTGTGAAGAGACTTTAAAACCAGCGTGGTTTTTTTTTTTTTTATAGTAATTAAAACATTCCCAGGAAGGGACCTGAGCTCTGCTGTAGAAATAACCGGGCCTCACTGTTAATGAGAATATTATTATGTATTATTTTGTGAGTTGCTCTGTTTGATTTCAAAGGGACAGAAGTTACCAGCCAAGGGTTATGAAAATCTAAGTCTCCTTGGTTGCGAGGTCTGCGGGCTCTTCGTCCTCAGTTAAATTTCTGTTTTGATACAGAAAATATCACTGATGTATTTTGCACCGGTATGAGATTCGAAGAAGGATAACTCATACTGAAACTTCTGCGCAGCACTTCCGTGCTGAGGCGGTAAAGGAGAGTTATTGTGCAGGGAAGCTTCCAATTAAGCAGAAAAAGGAGCTGGTTTGCTTTTTGAAGTAACATTTGTCATATACACGGTAAAATATGAAAGCTATTAGTAGGAAGTTAATCAGTTCATTTGCCTGGTTTCAGGTTGTATCAGCTAGGCAGCCTTCGTAGCTTGTGCTATGCAGTCTCCAGCCGGCTGCCATGTATTAAAGATACTTGCGAAAGGTCCGTGTCTTGCTAATAACCCTGACTCTGTGGGTCCACTTCACCTTTCATCTCAGTACTTGTTTACACAACAGCAAGTTAACCTGTGTACTTTAGATACTGGTGTAGCTAAAGAGCAGTAATATTTCATTATTATTTTTCCTGGAGGAGACATAGCTGTAATGTATGCATGTTAAACAATGAACCGTGAAGTTTCAGCAGTATTTTATTGTAATTTAGAGGTAAAAATTTGAAATCATACCTTTTAATTAATACTTTATTTAACTGTAAAATAATAAAACCCTATGGATTTATTTATTTATTAATTTAATTTAATTATCAGGGCTGTTCCTGGCACAAGCCCCTCTTATTAAGCCTTTACGAAAGGTAATACTTTGCAGCTCCGGCTTACCTTGCCTTCTCCATTCCTGAAGTAACTTTAGACAATTACATTCCCTGCACTGGAGAACACGGCTTTTTAGGCATTCTTGGTTTTGTCTGGGCTTAGATCTTAAATCTGGTGTTGAAAAGAAACATCTTTTTTGTTTGGTTAGCTGTTCCTCCCGCTCTCCCCACTCAGAAACAACTTTTTTTTTTTTTTAATCACTAAGGTTTGAGGTTTTTCTGCTCTGGTTTAGCTCTAAAATAGAGAAAAGGTTTGATACTTAAAGTAGACTAAAAATATTTTGCAGTCACATAGTTTCCAGTGTTGAAAAGCAAAAAGCTTGCTTAGTCACATTTCAGTACATGCCCTTCTTAAAAGGAGTTCTTATTTTAATAAATCAGTATAAGTTTATAGAGTCAAACAGTAAATGCATAGATAGCTATAACTGTGAAATACACACCATGCTTCTTGTTGTCAGTAGCCTCTTGTTAGTTGTGTATGCCACTTCTTTAATAGGTCTATAGTTTCTGGTACGTCTGTGCTGCCAGCACCCCCAAAGATGGGAAAACATTTTAAACACAGACAGGGACTGCCATGTAAAGAAGAAATGTATTTAGGTAAAGACTTTTTGTGAGTGGATGTTTAGTTTGAAGTGTGATTAATTTCAGCCTATGAATAAAAACTTTTATTTTTCACAGAAGTGTAAGGGAATAAGGATGTCAAGGTTGTTATTTTGATATTCAGAAATAATAATACTGGATAACTGCTTACAAACCTACTAGGAAAAAGCAGCAGGAGAAATAATGGGAAAACAGTCTTCTCAAGGCACTGAAGTGATAAAGAAGGCTGGCTTGCTAGTATGTGGAGTGGGCATCAGACAGCAGAGTTCTTGGAAAACCATAAAAATCTTATTATTCAGTCTTCACTTTTTTTGTGCACCCTTCTATTGGTTAATGGTCTCTCAGATTAGCTGTGCTAAATGTAAAAGCTGCTAATCAGTAGCATGAAGGTGTAACTATAACGGTCATCCCACAAGCCTGCAGCTTAAACAAGGAGCAGGAATCAAGTGATTGGACAAAAGTATAATAAACAGATCAAAGCAGTTATTTACCTGGAATTAAGCCAGTAGGAAAAATGAATTCATGCTGGCTTTAAATAGATACAAAGGTTATTTAAGGCAAAATGTGCTATTGTAGCAGATTCTGTCTGTTGCAAGAGAGGAGCAGACTGTTGGTGACCTTGTGGTGAGTGTTTTCATGTCATCTTTGCCACTGAACTTTGGTGCAGGGATTATTTGAATTCCTGACCAAAGGCTTTCAGCATCTCTTCAGTTGCCAGTTTATCGAGGAATAATACCTGCTCGTATGTGGCCTCCAAAATATCAAAGATGAGCAGGTGATATAGTGGATAAAATACATTAACTGCATAGTTTTAAATATAGCAGGACTAAAAGGAAAGACTTTAGACTTGGTAAGAAACTCGCTACCTTCTTTAATGTTGTCATCCTGAAACTGAAGCTGTCATTCCTGAATACTGAGAAATGTGTCAAAGGAAGGGGTTCTGCCTGTTTTCTCAGACAGTGAAAGCAAAACAGAAAAGAAAAAAAACCTATATATTTTTCTACTGCAGTCTCTTTACATATCTCTGTTATGGACATTCTGAAATGATATAAAAGAAGATAATGGCTAATCAGATCCTTTAAGTGTAGTGTGGGAGTTTAAAAGGGAAACCACAAACTCTTTATCAATTCCAATGAGCTTGTGTTCAGTGTGTTGGAAGATGAGCTTTATGCCCTGATTTTTTTTATTATTACTCCATAATGTTCTTGGCAAGATTGTAGGAAGCTTGGTATCTTCTTCAGTGCATCTGCAGTGGTTTCAGTTGTAATTTCCAGCTCTCACACATGAAGTGAATCGGCAGAGGTATGGCATATATATGGCACACCTGCCTTCTGCTGCTCTCCTGGTAGGACTGTAATGCTGGCAGGGATTTAAACCACTGAAGCAAGAATTGCTAGTGGACATCTGTAAGAGCTCTCTTCCTCCCTCTCTTTCCATTTGAATCAATAGGCATATGTTGGACTTTACACTAGACGCATGAACTACTTTGATAAAAACATAGCATTAATTTTGTGCAGCAAGGGAGTAATCATTTTAAAGCAATTGAAAAAGGCTTTGGAGAACTGTGACAGTTCAGAGAACACGTTTATTTTTCATGAGAACTGTGCTCCAGGCCAGTGAATTCAACCTCAGAAAGTCCCACCAGGCATTGACCAAGGCTCTGTAATGGGTGATACGCTGAAAAAAATGAATGAAACCGCTTACGTCTGAAATCTGGTGTTCAAGACCTTGTTGAACTATGGCCCTAGTTGGTGAAAACACTTCAGCATGTAGAGCCCAGCTGCAGTAAACCGCTTAGGCAAGTGGCCAGCATGAGTATATGCTTGTGCCCTATTGATTTGCAGTGTACCTAGTGGGACATAAGTATATGCTTAGAGCTGACTGCCTGCCCAAGAATGCTGGAACAGACTGAGCGTCCCCAGCAAATGTTGACACAGAGTATGGTTTTGACAATATTTCACAAAACCTGTGTGAGTTTGTCAGGGGTTTTCCTCTAAATAATAATAAAAAAAATTAGTTCGTGTTTGTTGTTATGGACCCAATCCCCACTGTCCAGGGCAAATATGGAGGCTTAACATCAAAATAAGTTTTGCATGTGTGTGTATGAATGCATGGGGTGAAGGGAGAGGGTAAGGTGTGGAGTTTCTGTTTGTTTTTTTTTTTTTATCAAACAAGTCTTTTCAATTAATTTTACTTAGTGCACAAATTTGCTTATTTCACAGTTTAATGGCGTAAGATTTTTCTCAGTGTTTGCCACTGCCCAAAGCTTGTGGGCCTGATCTTCACTTGCATCGATTCTCTTCATGCCACTCTAGCAATGCAAAGCAGCCTTCAAAAAGGGATTTCAATTAAAGTATAATTGAAAAAGATTTGGTTTGAGGCAAAGACCTTAACATCTGTCCAGGTCCAATTGTTATGATCAGTTGTAAATACTCATATGGATTGGACCTATACTAAAAATAAGTGCAAAACTCTAGAGATAAATACCACAAAACCATGGTTATGGATCTAAATTTTGAGCAGAGCTCATCTTTTATGAAGGATAAAACCTCCAAGGCAGAGAAATTCCTGAAAATCAGGCTGCATTAATCACCTCAAGCTGATGCTGCAGAAGGAAAGAGTTCCAAATCACTATTGGAGGCTTTGCCCCTTGTGCAAAAGAAAACGGCCTCTGACTTTAGCAAGTGCCGTGTGATGGTGATGGCGGGAACCGTACCTATGTAAGATGGCAGTGTTACAAAGAGAGGGATAACGGGCTCCACGCATCTTCTGATGTTTCTTGACAGCTCTCTCCCTTCCATTTCTCTTCCAGGTGAACGCCCCTTCCACTGTAACCAATGTGGAGCTTCTTTTACCCAGAAGGGGAACCTGCTGAGGCACATCAAGTTGCACTCTGGGGAGAAACCGTTCAAATGTCCCTTCTGCAGCTATGCCTGCCGACGGAGGGACGCCCTCACAGGACACCTCAGGACGCACTCTGGTGAGCCCGCCTTGTCTGCTCTTCCCTCTTGTTTTTTCTTTTGTCATTAAACGTTCAAGTGAAGTGGGTTGTGAAAATCACTGTGTGTTCCTGGTGGCTCTGGGTCTGTACCATCCTCTTCAGATAGCGCAGCTCTGAACTTTGGGAAAGCCTTGATGTGAATCAGAAAAGTTGTGGTTCAGCCACACCTCTCCTTTTGTGTAACTGAGCTCCTCTCCTGATGCTATCGCATTTCCCTTTGAACGTCTCCTTGGGTGTACCCAGGCTTTGCTGGCAGATTGTTTTGACACTCTCAGTCCCAAAGTGGCTGTGAAATTCCAAAGATCGCAAAGAATAACTGGGTACTCTTGGAAGCCTGCTTTGCAGTTCATACCCATTTCTTCATCTAATAAATGCCATATGCTAGTGGAATTCATACTTGCTCATCTTTGAGAATACTCCTAATTGCATTTTTGATTCAGTTACATCTTTCTGTAAAGTCCTAATGCATGGCAGCCACAGCACTCACCTTAGAGCAGAAGGTGTCAGGGAGAGATTGGGCTTGTCTTGCCTTGCTACTTGATAGTATCATGTCTATATCAAGTCTATAGTTTCGTGATGTGTTCTAAAGAAATACTCGTTGCATAACTGCATGTTAGTAGTCATGTTGGTAGCCCTGATGATCAGGATCAGATGTGTTTCTAGTTCCTGTATGCTACACCAAGGGGCCACATTCTGCCTATCTACTCATTTGTGTAGGACTCTTGAGTAAGATCTTAACTTGCTGCGTTTTTTATCTCCTAGGAAGTTCAACTTCTGTGTCCAGGCCACTTATAGGAGACTGTGTTTTTCATTGTTGAATGAGCAGAGATAATTGGACTGGTTACAAGTGACAGCATTACAGATGAACTTTTTTGAGGTGTTAGCAAATGTGTGACTACTGAAACACAGTGGTTGAAGTGCAGCTGCTGACAGAAACTCTGCATGTGAAAATGTAATCATGGGGCTTCCTGACTCTTTATACGCATTTCTTCTACAGGGTCAGCCTCACTTCAGAAGAGGTTTCTGTTTTATGAGCATTAGGTTGGTCTTAGGATACAAAGTTGCCTTGACATTTCCAAGAATCAGAAAGGATAAGCTAATAAGCTTCTCCAGGTAGATTTTGGAGTACGCAGGAGGCTGTACTGATGCAAACATACTGCTGACAGAAAGCATGAGCTTCCAAGGGAGTGCAAGTGTGGGACTAGGCTAAGAGAGAATTGCTTGAGAGTTGTCAGCCGAGAGGATTTGATCTGAAAGTCAGAAGGGAAAATGTCTGTGGAACTGTGAGTTGTAATTTTCACACATCTGACCATAACCGTAGTTTCAACTTGAAATTTAGTAAAAAAGAAAACACCATCAAAATTTTCACAATTAAAATAAAAAAGGGAGTTGTGACATAAAATAGCCCACATTACAAAACATGAACATTGCGGTTGCAGATTGTTTTCATTATAGGAATATAGATTTTGTTACCTAGATACAGTCATTGATAGAGATTGTTCATCCTTCTTGTGTGGAAAGTACATGGCTGATGTTTCTGCTTTTTGCATAAGGATGAAATGTAAAGGTGTGGGTTTTTCAGAAGGCACCTAGCTGCTTAGGCACACAAGTTCCCGTGGAGCTCCTTCCTAACTGACCTAGCTGTGTTTAGCTGTGCTCAATTTGCAATTTTATGGTTTGTTTTCAGTGGAGAAAGTGTCACCCCTTTTAAGCAGTCAGCTACGACAGTTTTCAGCAAAGGGGCAGCAGGAACAGACAAGTGCTCCCACAATACTCTCCAAGACAATTCTTAGAGTAGCACTCACAGGTGAAGAGTTAAAAACCTGGGATATTGCCCTAAAACCTGGCACCCACGTACACGAAGGTGAAATGCCGATCTGAACGTGAGCATGGAAGTTAAGGTGTCTTTCTGTCCGTGTCATATAGGCAAGCTTGGTTGGTTTATGCACATATATGTGAACCTGGTTCATGGAGAAGACAGGTAGATGTTCCCTAGAGATTTAAACAGTTTCGTATCAGTGTACTACACAAGCACTTTCTGCTTTAATAAAGCACGCATCAAAGTCCGTAAGTAGACCTTGAAGGTATAGCAAATCTAGTAAACTTCATTGAATGTTTACATCTTCTGCTATTTCTGACCATAAAAGAGAATATCAGATAAAATACAGAAAGAAGAGGTTGAAAACTATTTTGAAATATGACACTTCAATCCAGTTTCAATCTGGTACACTTAATGTCTAAATTGAGGTGAGTCTGAATATGCTTTTATATTTATAAAAGAAAAGCTCTTTAGATCAGATCCTCAGCTGATATAGATAGGAATTACATTCCCTAAGCAAGGAAAGTACTGCTGTTTTGCACCAGCTGAGAATCTGGCACATGATTTCATAAATGCAAGACCAATTTCCTTTTTTATGTTGTATGTCCTTTTCCTCCTTAAATAAGAGAGTGCTATTAATCAAAAAACCCCCCTCTTTTTTCCTTCCCAAGAAGGTTTTAAACTACTCATTTTTTATGGAAGGCAGAGTATGCAAGAAAGGAATTGAAGAATTTTTTTTATATCTTTTTTTTCCCTCCCAGCTAGTTTGATCTGTGAATTTGAAAGCACTTTGTTTGTGTCACCACTTAGTCGGTTACACCCTCTTACTACTGCTAGTTAGTCAATTTTTCCTGTGCTTAGTGAAGGGTTTTCATACAGTAAGACAGGAAAGGTGAAAAAATAAGGAAATATAATTGCAAACAGAAATTAGCAGAAGCATCTCAGAGAGATTTAAAATAGCTGAAACTACTATTAACTTTAAAAAACAATTAATTTATGACAGTTTCTTTCTTTTTTTTTTTTTTTTGCTTTGGCTAGATTTTTTGTTCATGCTTTTTAATATTATTTCCTATTTATTTGAAAATGTTTCTGAGCATCACAATCCACATTTTGCCTTCCTTTCTTGTACAGAATAATATCTTTCTACATAAGTGTTCCCAGGATGAGTGGTTAACAAAACATTACTTTGCATCTGTAATGCTGCTGCTGTTTAACCCTAAATAATTAAGGACTTATCTTGCAGTGATTTACTCCTGCAATTATTTACCTTTTACTGACATATGGAGTTCTGATGAACTTTGTGTCTATATATTCCTCCCACATGCAGCTTCTTTGATTTCAGGAATATAATGATGCCTTCAGGACATCAGTAGGATAACGCCTGGGGAGAGATTCATGCACAGAATTACACTGAGTGGGCATGAGCCTCAAGGTACTTGCAGGACTTTCAGATGTTGTTTTCAGAATTAACTCCATAGTTCCACAACACAGATAATACAGGAGAGCTGCGTGGCTGGGCTTCCAGGACGTGAGTGGAAGGACAGGCTGTGGAGGGCTGGGGCAAAAGTTGGTAGCCCCCTCCTGCAGGATGCACTTGACAAACCAGCAGGGATTGGCTTCACCTTGCCTAGCTTTTGCTGTTTTTAAAGAGGAAAACATCCAGGCAAAGCCAATCTCCTGATGGTAGTCGCAGAGTACCTGCTCTCTCACCCTGAGAGGTGCCCATTTTCTCCAGCATCTCTAGAATTGCACAACTAGACAAAGGCAGATACAAAACAGATGAGTCGAATTCTACTGTAGGTGATTAATGAACAAAAAGCAGAAGTTTTAAGGGAGACAGTTGATCTGACAGATCAATCTGATGGTTAAAGCACCTAGATGTTGACCTCCGTACTTTGAAAGACATGACGTACACCCTGACGCTGTTTTACCCTGAAAAGCCAGGCATCCTCAAATGGGCACGTAAAATCAGCAGTTATGTTTTGACATGAGTTTCTCTTGTGTCTAAAATGGAGCCAAGTCAGCCCTCCCCTCATAATGCTATTGTAAACATAAATGCTTTGATAGTTCGTAAAAAAAGTCAAGGCTGCAATGATGAGCAATCTGGAAGAGCCCATAGAAAACATTAGTGCATTAGTTTTCAGAGCAGGGCTTGGGCAGTAAGCTGTAAATGAGGGATAGGATCACTTGCTAAGGGGAAAACAAAACACAGAATAGGTTTTCGTTAAGTGAGAACCGTTCAACCATCCTTTGCACTAAGCAAGGATGGTCCTGTGGGCAAATTATTTTGTGATTTTTAAGACTGTCTCATCATGCATACACACAGACTAGCTGCATGAAGCCTACTCAGGCTGGAACTTCCTGATTTTTCTGTCTTTATCTTGGCAACTTCAATCACATTCCCTTACTGTGGGAGTATGTAAGTGTTATTCATATATGAAAGCAGTTTTACTGTTTATTTCTTCCTAAAAAACGGGTAGTCAGATCATTATTTTTTCCTGTCACAGAAGCTTTTCCTCACAGTACATTTTAAAATTTGCTTCCAAGATACTTCTGTCCTGTTTAGAAAATGTTTTTTTCCCCTTTTCTGCTTTTAACAAATATTTGCTTTTTCCTCCCCCTTGTCTTCCTGTGTTGCTGCTGCACATTGTTTGTTACTGCCTAGCTCTTCAACAGCACTGGGCTAATGGTATCATTTTATTTGCAAAAGAAAAGCAGTGAAGCATTTGTTTTGAAAAGAAAGGCTTAGGCAAAAACTCCCAAAAGCACAATCTTAACAAACTATGTACAGTGCCCAAGATAAAAGGCATGTATAATTAAAAAGGTAAATGCCCCATTCATGGAAAGGTAGTTTAGTAATTCTTTTTATGCTTCTTGGTTTGCAAGTCTATCTTTCTCATCTCTTCTTCTCCATAAGGACTTTCTTCTCAGCTCCTCCTGTGTGGTAGTGAGCCATTCGAGATGCCCTACACGCCTGCAATTGCACGGCTGTTGTTGGCAGAACTGACAAGTGATATCTGTGTGTGCGACCGCTCAGAGGCAGAAGGAATCTAGCTCCTAATTCTGATGAGGTGCCTGACTCAATACATGTTTGGGAGAGTCATTCCACCTGTGAGTGTCTCAGTCCAGCTGAAAAATTGGATGAACAAGCACAGTGCTG